CAACCGAACCGCTCCAGAGTTCGTTTTCAATCGAGCCGAGACAACCACGTTTAGGCGATCTCGGACCGATTGTTTTGGCGTGGATCCGGGTGCGATTACTGTGTTCACATATGTCCAAACGAACCGAGCTAAGGGGGGAAACGCGCCAGGTTCCGAAACAACGGGCCAGGTGTGAAAGCACCCTTAGTTTTGTTCATCTGATAAAACACTGAAAATGTGACTTTCTACAAGTTTCCAGTGGACAAAAATATCTGTAGTTTGTAAAATAGTCATAAATAAAACAACATTGACCTATGAAATTTCTGTAAAAGTTTTTAAACCCTTTCTTTGAGTAAATGTCATTTTGAATTAAATACAGTAATTTGGAAAATAATGGGTTTTTGAAATTCCTTGTGTTTGTTTTTCATAAATGAGACCCATTTGGACTGTAGCCTTATTTTGGTTTCAGTCTACTCTGATTAAAGTCCATAGAGAGGTGATTTTCTGACCGGCATAATCTTTCTCTGTGACAGAAGAGAGGAAACTGGACTTGGACGAGAAACCACTGGTCGTACAGCTGAACTGGAACAAAGACGACAGAGAGGGCCGCTTCGTACTCAAGAACGAGAACGACATCATGCCCAAGGTGAGACAACGTGGACGCAGACCAAGACCAGACCAAAAGTTAGAAAACAAACTCAACCTGCTTTCACAGAGCCTGGTTCTGTGGTTTGTTCTGCTTGAAAGCAGAAGCTATAGTTTTACGACGATTCACCGACGGTGTCTGTGTTTGTTCCTGTTGAGTTTTCTGCTCTTGGTTATGTTGTAACAGCTTTTTTTAGTCTCCTGCTGTTCAGACGGCCCCCGAAACCATCTTCTCCGCAAGCCAGCCCATTGCACGTCAGTTAAAAACCCTCCCAGGACATACAAACACACAGGCATCAGCAGACACTTCATTTCCTCACTACATTTTTTCCCCCGTTTTACTCTGTCTGTCTCTCTCTCTCTCTCCCTCTCTTTCCACTTCAGTGGCTCTTAGTGTTGTGTGCAGCAAGGCTCCCCAAAGAGACATAAAATAAGAGCTTAGGAGTGTCTGAGTCTGCAGGAATGTGTGTTTGGGTGTGTGGGTGGTAGATCCCAACAATTTTCTGCATTTTAGGTTGTTTTCACACTTTGTTTGATTGTTCGGCCCGAACCAAAGTTCGATTCTACCTTCTAAACCACGATATGTGTGAGCCATCAAAGTAAGCACTAGTGGCAGCTGTTTACGACTATAACTTGGTAAGTGTTTAGGATGAGAGGATGCCAGCATCACTGTTTTATTCATGTTTTTGTCACCGTAGATTTGAGACAAAACTTCACACACACAGAACAGCACTCGCATTTGTCTGCTGCAGATACATTGCGAAGGAAAGCTTAAATTAATTTTAATATAAGTAACTGTGAGAATGCATTGGTGACATTCACTTCCAGTTATTTAAGCTGTACAAAAACAGTCCATTATGCTGCCTGATATTGGAAACTGATCTTTATCATGTTTTACTGTTTACTGCACTATTATTCTTCAAGTCCTTTACCTACAGCAGCCAATGAAGTCTCACACATTCACAGAAAATATCTTTCTTCTATGTTGCAAAAAGGTGGATAAGTGTGACCATAAGTGTGCAAATGGTGATTCATGTCTGTAATTTAGGACGGATTGCTTTTATATCAACTGTGAACTGAAAAGGTTCTAAAAATCTGCTGCTTAGTTAGTTGCTCTCAGCTCAACCATTTGATGATGTGGAGTTGAAGTGATGTTGTGACATCTGTCTGGCCGCTCTCTTGTAGAGTAACTTGTTCAGCATGCTTGAATTTGAACTCTGCAATCCTTGCTTTGGCTCTTACTATTCACTCATAACACAATATTTTGAAATCCCCCTGTAAATCTTTGGAGTGTTTCCTATGATGTATTGCAAAATCACAGCTGTGTTAAGAGCTCAAGTCAATAGAAGCATGTTGTTCCACATAATTTAGCCTTAAACTTTCACCCTTTTAACTTATATTTGTTAATAATGCAATTAATTATAATTTTTTTTTAAAATAAATATTAAATAAAAAAATGTAGTAATCTTGAATGAAAATAATATTAACTATAATATTAATAATGCAGAGAATTATTTAAAATGTAAAAACATTTAAAATAATGGTGTAAACTATTAGTATTATAATAAGAATGAATAAAAACTATCATTTAAAATCATTTAAATAATTAATTTTAATAAATAAAACAATTCATTCTTTTGTTTTTTTTTAAATAAAGCAAGTGATGCGGTTTCCATTTTTAAACATTTTTTCATAATGTCCACTAAGCGAAAGACAAATAAACATTAAGAATTCATTCTAATTTTCTAAGCAGAGTCGTAGCCTACTCCGTTTGATATCCCACTGCAATTTTTCTCAACATCTTTCTCTTTATTTTTCCTCTTGATCTCTCCACCAGAGAACACTGACAAATGGCCCTGAGAAAGAGAAGGAGGGGGTGATCCAGAACTTCAAAAGAACACTGTCCAAGAAGGAGAAGAAGAAAGAGAAGAAGAGGGAGGAGGCGGCCTTTTCCAGAATTCCAGATGTAGACGATCACACACTGAACCGCGAGGATGGGTGAGGAGTATCAACTAATTCGGCTTGTATGATAGACATGCACATAAAGGCAATAGTCCATTTAAAAGGGATATTAGTAAGAAATCGTATAAGAGCATCTTTAAAACTAAATCCATTCAGTTTTTTGTGTCTCTTGTCCTAATCATTCGTGAAAGGACATTTTTGGTTTCTCTTTATGTAGAATTGACTTACTTTTGTCCCTCTTTCTGATAGAGAGAACTCCAGATTGGCTGCTGAGGTATATAAAGACATGCCAGAGACCAGTTTCACAAGGACCATTTCTAACCCCGAGGTGGTGATGAAGAGGAGACGACAGCAGAAGCTGGAGAAGAGGATGCAAGAATTCCGCAGCGGAGACGGTCGACCGGATTCAGGTTTGTATGCCTCTAATACATCAACATAATCTACACTGACATACAACTGCCTGGATTTTACATATCAACTCCTAAGTGATTATTTAGCAGGAGGCCTTGTTATTCATTCCACATCCAAAGAGCCTAGCCAATCATAACAGAGAACATTTGCATATGGAAGTCTTATGATCATATATGGAAACTAAGCTACAATAGTACATTCAGAACAGGACACAGGACACAGACATGAGCATATTAACATAACTGTGCACATTTAGTTTTGGTGCATAATAAGAATTAAATCTATGGTCATTGAGCTTTTCTGGAAGATAAATAGACTAATTTTATTGCTCTATATGTGTGTCTAGAGACTGTTTGGTGCAAAAATAGCTTTGCGTTTGTTTTTCCTGTAAAATAGGCTATGATGTCAGCAGTTTGTCTCCATGGGGCACTGAAAACTGTAATTATATAATGAGAGCACTAAACCAGAGCCCTGGCAACTCCATTGCACTTGTTGGGACTTTCTGCCAATGAACCATCTACTTTCAAGTGGAAAACCATTCCAGATCTCAACATAAAACTTTATTTCGTAGCTCTGTTTACACTGATGCCTAAAATAGCCTTTCTGTCCTGGACAGACACGGATATTTAGATTTTCCAAGCTTATGTAATCAGGATAATAACATATGTCTGCAGCCGAGGGTTTAGACCAGAGGCAAATCCTTAACGTGACACACATAGAAAGGCTCCCAGTTACTCATCACATTCACCCCGTCCGGTAAGAGTTAAGCAGTGTGTCAACTGGTTAAAGAGGCTTAGTCGAGCATGCGGCTGGGTTTAGATCCCAGTGTTGGGGATGTTTGAGTTCTCACGCTGTGTGCTGCCGTACTAATAAAGTCCTTCAACCTACATTGGACACAGCCAAAATTCAGAACATAGGGTGGTGTTTTAAGAGGAATATTTTCTGTGCTAATGCTGGTACCCTAAATCTTTACAATTCATTTACTAGGCCATCAGTAAAGGCTATGCCATTATATATCAGCCTGCCTTTAGACATTGGATCTGACACATGGTAGCTGTGCATGGAGTTAATGGGCATGATTATCAGCCAATTCTGATTAATTGGCCTCTCCGATATATCGGTCTACCATTAATCTGCACTATTAGTTCTTAATTCTCTTGTATTATCAGCCAGTTTTAGTAATCTCGAAAAGCCAGGTATCATCTGATTAATTGGCCTCGCCGATATATCGGTCTGCCGCTAAGCTACACTATTAGTTCTTAATTATCTTTCACACAATCTCTCTCTTTCAGGAGGGACTCTGAGGATCTACGCCGATAGTCTGAAGCCAAACATTCCCTACAAGACCATCCTGCTCTCAACTACTGATATGGCTGACTTTGCTGTGGCCGAGGCTCTGGAGAAATACGGGCTGGAGAAGGAAAATCCCAGAGATTATTGCATCGCCCAGGTGAGGTTTAACACAGTGTGAGTTTTCTAATGCTTTCAGAGAGTTGTACTTTCCTATGATAAATGCAGCTCTGTCAGAAAGTGTTTTTAAAATCTGCAGGATGGATTTTAAGATGGTAGAATGAAGGGATGGACAATATTTTGATACTATGTCATGGATATTTAATTGTGCATGCTCATTTCCCATAGTTTTACATTTAGATCAGATTTGCCACCAAATCAGATCTAATGGTGACTAAAAGTACATTTTTAAAAACAACAATTTAATAACACTGTTAAATGTAATCTTTAATGAATCTCAGAATGTGTATGAATTTTTTCATATGGTACTGTTATAATTAGAGATCGACCGATATATCGATTTACCGATATTTTTCCTTTTAATTACATATACAGCTCGTTCATAAAGCTGCTGTTAAATCGTGGCAGGGAGCGTGTATCTGTCACTAAAACAGGTGTCTAATGCCTGCCTGGAGTGCCCACTGTGAAATATTAGCATACTTTGCCAAAGAAGTCAAACTTTAGTACTTTGGGTAATAAAATTGAATTTTTAAGACTCTGAAAGTGTGTGCATGTTCGCTTTGTGCAGGTGATTCATGCAAATGATAAACCAGTGAAGGAGACCATACTAGACGACACAGATTGCCCTCTGCAGATCCTCAGAGACTGGACAAGCGATAAAGGTCAGCCACATGCCATTTCTTAAGCTCATTTTTTGGACAAATTCTGGAGCTTTTTGGAACATCTTCAATATCTTTCAAAAGTTTGGTGTTGATGTTTTTTTGGTTTTGTTTTTCTGCGCTCAAAGGCTACAGGTTTTCTTTTCTTTTAGGATTCTTCTTTTAAAAAAAAAACTTTTATTTGAAATATAAATATTTAATTGAATGTATCCTTGTTCAAAAGTATTATTCATTTCAAAAAAAAAAAAAGAATAAATCTTATTGATCCCAAACTTTTGAACTGTAGTTTAGATGCATTTTATATTATTTATGCCTTAATTTGACATGCTTAAAGCATTTAAATAAGTTTAATACAAGAGCCTCTCTTTTACACCATGTTATACCGCCCCCTGTTGACTTTAATGTGCTATTATGTCAATTTCACAGATCCCTTAGTATTCCAACTGAAAAAGCGTCCTCCAGACTACGCTCCAAGGAAAGGACGTAAATCCGACAACAGGATGGGGCCGCCTCACGGATCCATTCCTCCCGAGAAACTGCCCTACCTGGTTGAACTGAGCCCAGGTGACACACACAAACACACACTATGACAGCACATCCTCTTTCCAGGAACTTTAGAGCAGAAGCAGAGGCCTTTGTGAGTCATTGAATGCTAGCAGAGCTGTTCCTGGATCAGTTGTGTTGATCTAAGCCTGCACTAGAGTTTCAGTTGCACTGATGTGACAGCTGTGAAGAGCGGCCCACTGATTGCCCGCTGACATTCACGCATGAGTAGAGCTATGGCCAACAAATGAGTTTAGTATCTGGACCGCTGTAGAGTCAGCTAGTGAGATCCCTTAAAATATACCTTAGTTTCACTCAAGTTGTTTTTTTAGAGTTGAAAATTCACATCTAGATCTGACCCTCACTAACGCTGTCTCTCAGTCTAACTGCTGCTTGCATACTGCTCCTCCCCCTGCTACGGCCACAACTAACCCTGTCACTGCGTTTATAACCAATGCTTTTTAACTGCAAAGAGTTGAGCGGGAACTCTCCTGATGTGTAATGAGACTGTGTCTATACTAGAGGCAACCCACGTCACATTGCAAAGACAAAAAAAGCATTAAAACTTCACATCACTTCGAAAAGTTCACTAACCAATCAATGATAACTTCAGGAACAATTAATTGGGTGACTTATTTTATTTACAACAAAAAAAAAACATTAGTATAAAAATTGTATAATATAAAAACATTTAAGTTATTTCTACAAACTTTATCTGTATTATATTGTTGTTATATTAAATTACTGTATATTATTTTGTCTAATAATAATTTATTTTGTTTAAATATTATTTTATGGTATATTATTTGATATTATTCATTTTGACTTTTTTATTTAATAATATACTATGTACTATGTATTTACTAAATTTTATGTATTATATAATAAATACTATGTTATTATAATACATTTTAATATTGATAAAACTATGATATTATAATAATTTATTTGTTTAATATTATACTTTATTATACTAAATTGTTTATTGTTTAATATACTATTATACTATTATTATACTAAATTTACTTTATATATTTATATATATTGTTATTTATGTATATAAACAAGTTTTATGTATTATATTACAGTATATTACATTAATTAGCATTTTTTGCTATTTTTAAATTATTTATATACTCAGTTAACATTATTTTATATAATTTATTATTATTATAATTATCATAATTTTATTTTATATTACATTACATTATATTGTTTTAGAATATATAGAGAGGGAAGAAAAATACTTACTCAAAAAATATATAATATAATAAGTATTTTATAAGTTTTTTTTAATTTTTTATTGATGCATCATGAGTGATATAACAAATATATGAGTCATACCAAATCAAATTATTACCAGGCAGTTCACTTATGTAAATAAAAATATTTTCAGTGGACACAAAATATGGTTGGAGTAGCTGTCAATCTGAGAAAAAAAAAGAAACTGCACATTCCTCAGCCAAATTGCTTCTAGTGTAGACTGTTTTGTTGATTATAATGGGACAATTATGGTTTTGTCATATTGTGATGTGCCTTTGTCCGGTGTAGATATGGTGTAGTATTTGGTCATGAGGGTTCTCTGGGCCTTGGAAATTGAGATTTGATTGACACATTTACCCCTCTCTGGAGTGTGTGTCAGTTGACAGACTGACCACTTGCTTATGGCGCTTTTTTCTCTTTCTTGCTGCGTTTGGTACTCTTTGGCTTTTCCTCTCTCTGTATCGCTCTCTCTCTCTGGCGTGTTGTTGGCGTGTGTCGGTGTGTGTCCCGCCGTTCTTTCTGCTCCTGGCTCCTGTGCATGCGTCCCGTCCTAGGGCGAGGGAGTCATTATGCCTACTACTACCGTCATCATGAAGGTAACACAAACCAGCCTGCTCCTCCCACCCTCCCCCAGCTCTACCTCTCTCTCTCTTACACACTCTGAAAAAGAAGCTATAAAACACTTCTGCAAAATGAAAACTGACTGACCTACTTGTTTTTTGTTTTTTGTGCCCTAAAAGTAATGTGTGCAGTTATGTGGTCAAATTGTTGGCACAAGAGGAGATGGATGTGGTATTTTCTGGTAAAGCATTTAGTTTTATAGCACATTGTTCCTTGTATTGGTACAAAGTTCCCAGCATTGCCCACTTAGACTATTACGTAAGTGCTAAATATCTTACAATGTATTCATGGTAAGAGATCCTTGCCTAAAAGTCTGTATTTTTAATTTAGTAAAATGTCATAAAATAACTATAAAGTCATCTAGGCTGTCTCAGGCTTCCGTCGACTGCTAAAAATACTTTCCCCAAAATATATATAAAAAAGGGACTAGGGCTGCACGATAAATCGCATGCGATATTTAACGCGCATCTTGTCAGAAAAGCCGGTTCTGTAATCAGCGGTAAATCTCCATCACGTGCGTGCTTTCACATTGAGCAGCATTAACTACACAGAGCCGTTGTTCACTGACGAGCTGCGCAAAAAATCGTGCGAATATGAACGTGGTTTTGCGCAGCTCGTCAGTGAACAACGGCTCTGTGTAGTTAATGCTGCTCAATGTGAAAGCACGCACGTGATGGAGATTTACTGCTGATTACAGAACCGGCTTTTCTGACAAGATGCGCGTTAAATATCGCATGCGATTTATCGTGCAGCCCTAAAAGGGACTCTAACATCAGTATTATGAAGATATTTTGACTCACACTGTCTTGTTTTAAGCCTTATTCCCTTCTTTTACTGTTTGTGCTTTGCATTTTGCTTACAACTCCTAATTGCCAATCATCTCACTAATCTAAGAATTATAATACAAACCTAACCATCCCATCATCATTTATAACCCAGGATTTCCTATAAAAGTTCATTGTTTCTCAGGAAGTTCCAAGAATTCTGATCAAATTCCAATTTTCTGATAATAGAAAAGTCTTTGCTTTTGCACAGTATTCATGGAAGGTACTTGACGATTATTAGTAAGGATATGTCATGAGGGTTGACTAATCATTTAATGACCAACTAGTTGATTAGTGAGCTCAGTATTTATATATATTATACAGTAAGGTTTTTGAAAGAAGTCTCTTATGCTTAGAGAATACAATGACAACAGTAATATTGTGAAATATTACAATTATTTATTATTTAAATATTTTCTAAAATGCAATTTATTCCTCTGATGGAAAAGCTGAATTTTCAGCATCATTACGCCAGTCTTTAGTGTCACGTGATGCTTCAGAAATCATTCTTATATGTTGATTTGCTGCATAGGAAACATTTCTTATTATTAGCAATGTTAAAAAACAGTTGTGCTGCTTAATATTTTTGTGGCAACCGTGATAATTTTTTTCTGGTGTCTTTGAGGAACAGAAAGTTCAAAAGAATAACATTGTTTATCATTTTAATGTGTTCTTGCTGAATAGAAGTATTAATTTCTTTAAAAAAGAATTCTCACTGAGTTTTGAATGGTGGTGTATTTTTAGTGGCTGTCCTTTAATTAGCATACTGTACAACCCTGGAAAACCCTCTCGGAGGAGTTGCGTCTTTAAGTTCAGGATCGAAAACAGCCTAATTACACAGCAGTTTAGTTAGCCCATTGACTAGACGAATTTAGAAACATGTAGTTTTGCATATTCTTAATTACATGGCCTAAAGCACAGAAGTGACACTAATGGGTTGTGCAAGAGTGCACATGCTTGTGTTTTGAATCGAGTGTGAGTGAAATGCAGACAAACGCAAATGTGTGTGTCTCACTGCTCTGCGGCTGCTCTGCAGATGGGTCAGACTCCAGGGATAAACCCAAACTTTACCGACTACAGCACAGCCTCACTGAGGTCGGATCTGACCGAAGTGAAGATGGAAGCATTCAAGTAAGGAAAACGCATAAATGATGTCTTCAGCGCAGTAGTGTAGAACAGTGAATGGTGAAAATACGTTTGAAAACACATCCCTGATTTTTCCGCACCGCAGCTGTTTGGGCCTGGGATTCTGCCTCACCACTGTGACCTGATGCATGCGGACGGGCTTGTGACCGTGACCCCTGTCAGTTTGGACGCTGAGACGTTCGTGGATGGACAGCGGATCTCCGACACTACGGTTCTGCGCAGCGGCGTGACGGTCCAGTTCGGAGCCATTCACGTCTTCAAATTCGTAGACCCCAGCTATGACCACAGCATGTCCAAGAGAGGGTGAGTCATATTTTGTACCCAAATAGAGCTGAAAAGCAAATATAACCTGATAAGAATCACATTGAGTGTGTCCAGAAAGATTTGAACTCATACAGTTGTCTGATCGTTTATTGACCAGCTGTGGCAGCGCAGCACAATGAACCATCTGTTGTACTGTGTAACATTAGACGCAGTGATGGGGAAGCTTCTTTGAAAACTATAGCTTGCCAAGCTACTTTTAAAAAAAGTCATTAGCTGTATTTAAAGCTACTAACAAAAAGTAGCTAACTACATCGAAGATATTAAATATCTTCATAAAAGGATCATAGCTAGGATGACAGCATGAGAATGAACAGGTGAATTGATACTAAATGCAACTAACAACTAAAAAACACTTTAGTTTCTATATCGGAGTCAAAAACATGTTGAACAGCCACCTTTAACTATAAAGAATTATGTATAAAACACCTTCTGCAGATCATGGAATGAATCGGTGAATCATTCTTTTAAATCACTTGATTCAGATGAATCATTTGTATGATGTGATTCACCTAAATTAATCTAACTTTCCAGTGCTACATTTAAGGACAGTTTAGGAGAGCCTGTTGTCATATTTTTTGTCAGGATTTTGTGATTAATAGAAAGTTTTTTGAAGGTTTAATTCAGGCTTTAATAAGAGCTCTAGTGATATGCAGGTTCTTTACAGACACAGTTTACACATGTCACAGGACCAGAGCAGATAATTCATTAAATTTTGACACCAGTATATGGGTGAAAATAGTCATCTTAAAGGTACAGTAGCAAAAACCGATGGTTTAGTTCCAAGAGATGGAGTGAGACTTGAAAGTGATTATGAAATAACTTAATAATGCCTCTTTTGTGGTGCAAGAAAGGTTGAATAACATTATAAGTTGATGTCAAAATTCTTCAAAAGTGGAAAACACACACAGTTGCTCATGAGGTGTTTTGTACTTGTGGAGCCATTAGATGGCAGTATTTCGATGTCTAAGTGTCTTGCGTGCATGTTCTTTTTTGTTTGTTCTCACTTTATGATGCGTGTGTGTGTGTGTGACTTTGCCGTCAGTTCGAGTTGTGTTATGGGATGCTCTGCTGCCATGGCAACAGGAGTTTCTTAGGTTTTGCACGTGGTTTTTCTCTGCAGTGACCGTCCTGTCAGATTTCTAGTGTTAAATGCAGCCTTTACTGTGAGAACTGTTGTAAAAGAGGCTGGGAGAGTGACAGGGAGAGGGTGAGCGGAAGGTTATGTTGGCCACAGGCGCAGAGAGACTCTATAATCTGATCAGCGTGGGTTGGAGAGGGGTGTGTCCCAGTGTCATTTCAGAAAGAAACAGTGTGTTTGAGACGGGGAGGAGTGTAGTGACGCTCCCACCAACACACACTCTTCACCGTACTCCGCTGTTAAACATATCAGACAAGAGCGAGAGCAGTGTAGAGCTGTCCTGGTGAGTTCATCCACATTTTACACGTGTTTCATTGAGCAAAAACGCTCCACTTGAGTTATCAGGTGACTATGAAGATTTGTTGTGCTTGTTTGTTTCCTATAAACTTTGCTTAATTTTGATTTTTAACAGTACTGTGTTTTTGTTTATCTAATCATAAAATGCTAATTAAAACATGTTGTTTGAACTTTAATTAAACATGTATGTTTGTTCATAAACCTGTGTTTTTAAGTAATATTGGTTGGTGTGTGTGTATATATATACACATGCATACATACACATACACTACCATTTAAAAGTTTGGGGTCAACAAGATTTTTTCTGATTTGGGATACTGTTCAAAAGAACAGCATTTATTTAAAAAAGAACTCTTTTGTAACATTATACATTTCTTAACTGTCATTTCTGATCAAATAAATACATCCTTGCTAAATAAAAGTATTAATTTATTTTTTTTAAATCCCCAAACTATAATAATATGTAATATAATATAATATATATGGATTCATAACAGTTTATGATGTTTGTGTGAAAAGTGGGGGAAAACAGCGTAGCCTCAGGATATGGAAAAAAAAGATTCTACAGTACATTGATTGCGTTCATTTTAATGCGTTGAACAGTCAACATTAATTGCATAACACACTAATTTTCCCAGCCCTCCTCATTAGTAATCGTTTATTCTTATTATTATTATGACTTAGTTAGAACATGTGAACTTTCTTCTGTTAAGCTTCTTTATAAAGCTTTTCTAGAATTTCATTCCTGTTTTTTTGTTTTGGGTTTCTGAGTTTTTTTTTTTTACCCAACTTTTAATGCGAAGTAATCCCATGCGCATCCTATTGGCATGCATGTGAGTGTGCAGTAATTAGGTCTGCGTTCATTTCAGGCCATTTGTCCGTAATGTCTAGGTTCAATTAGGTTCATTTCCTGCGTTAATTTGATGTGAAAACATGTCTCTTTGTGAACGTGTTTGTGGTGGTAAGCAGAATTTCTAATCTGATGTCCTGATGTTCTGCTGGATTACAGCACTGCTCATTCCAGGACATGGATGGCAAGGATCAGGCAAGGGCTCAGTCCTTGTAATATCTGATTTTACTGATTTGTGTTATGTGGAAACATGTAGGCTAGATGGCATGTTTACTCATACTGCCGGTAAATGCAAAGAAAAGTTCTATATGCTCTACTTTTCAAAAGTTTGGGGTGGGTAGGATTTTTTTTAAACAACTGTTTTGACCTTGTCAGCCTTTAGGGTTCTGATAATTTTTTCAGAATTACACAGAACTGTGTGTGTGTGTATAATAGTTAACCTTGACATTCCAAGTAAAATGTAAATATTTTTGACAAATTTTTGACAAATTATTATGTTAGTTACAAATATGAGTGTAGCATTATTAACACATTTTACCTTATTTAATTTCACAACACGTTTAATTATGTATTTTTCTAAGAATAATGGGCAGAAAATAAAAGCAACCTGTTGGGTTGTGTTCATAATGTTCCAAAAGAAAGAGGAAATAATCAAAATAATTATGCAAATGAATAATGCAAAGTGAAGCCAGGGGCATCTTTTTTAGAAAGTAGTAGTAATAATAATGATAATAAATTATTGTTGTTATTATTACTGTTAAAAAATGAATTACATTAAATTAAAAATAAAATATTATTATCTGATTAATACATTTTATTTTGCAATTTTTAAATAAAAAATAAAGTGAAATATTTATTGTCTTTTATTATAATTTTTAAGTAAATGATCCTACCCTAATTTTTCACAATTCATTATTGTTGTAATCTTTTTATTTATTATCTTTTATTTGGATGATCTTGAAAATGCATCATTAAGAATTCTGTGGATTTTCCTCTGCAGGTAGAGTAGAAAATGTGAAAACAAATGATTTAGTTAATGGCGCAGAAAGCAATGCCATGTTAGTTACATTCTCTGTTTAGTAACAGCAGGTTTTGTGCACGTCAGCTGTCAGTCAGCGAGGGTCTCTATGGAGTCAGTGCCGGCTACAGGTCACTATATGTAACCTAACCCTCTTCCTCTGTCTGAACCTGAGACACCTGGTCCCTCCGCTCACCTGGCTTCAGTCTTGTCATCAATAATCCAGTGGAGATGAGAATGCTCATTCAAACACGCACAGCACAGTTTGGCATCTGTGACAGGATGTTGTACAGCAGGACTGGAGCGGGGTCTCTGGAGCGGTGGGCGTCTGTAGAGAACGGTGTCAATCTGTCCTATCTCAACTGGTTCATCAAGCAACAATTCTTTCCCCGCAGGTCCCAGGATGGCCCAGAACTCACTCTGCCGGCCAACATCGAGTTCAGGGAAAACTGTGAGTACCACATCCATGTGCAAAGCAAAACCAATTGATCTGTGCTGGTTTAATTTCAGCAATCTGATCTGAACTGGGTCATGTGATTTGTCTGGTGTGTGGCGGCTTTTTAATGTTCTGTTTGTTTTCATGTTTTGTCATTGGCTTTTTCCGGGTGTTGCAGACACAACATAGTATTTCCACTTGATCTGGTTGATGCCTTCATGTAGTTTCTTTTATTGGCTCTGCTGATTATAAAGCAAAACAGCCAGCTAATTATAGAAATCACTAATGGTTTGCTGCCTCATAGATCAATGGATGGGAAGTATTGATGACTGCTAGAAAACTGGTTTTATCATTAAGTCAGTTCAAGATAAATTATATTGTAATTTATCTATATTTGTCTGTCGAAAATATATCTGTCCAAAAAAAAAAAAGAAGCAGAAGTTGTCCCACCATGCCATTAGGTGGCAGAAATTAGTATTATGCCAGAAGCCAGCAATTTCCTTTTGTGTAGCTGCATGGATGGACTGAGCCTAGTACCGCTGGCACATCACAATCCAGAGCAGATAATCACCCACTATATGTTTCATTCGCATTTGTACATTACAATTTTCATATTTAGCTCAAAGCATCGCAAAATAAGATGACAAAGTCCTGTTATGTGCTGTTACTTTGTCTTGTGGTTGTATGTTGTGTCTTATGTGTCATGTTATGTGTCATGTTATCTGTTGTGTTATGAAATGTGTTATGTGTTATGGTAATATGTGGTGTCATGTTATGTGTTGTATGTTTTGAAATGTTATGGTTTTATGTTGAGTTATGTTATGAGTGTTATGTGTCATCACAGTCATGTTTTGTGTTATGATGTGATATAGGTTTGTTGCGTTATGAAATGTGTTGTGGTTTGTTTTGTTGTGTTATGTCTTGTGTTATTTTAAGTTATGGTTATGTTATGGTCATGTTGTTTTTATGTGTTATTTTAGTTTCAGTCTTCAAATCTGATATGGCTGAGCAGCTTATAAAAGAAGATCCACATACATGTTTTCAAACATCACTTTGCAAAATGAATTCTATTATAATGAACTATTATACTACAGTAGATGTTTCCACATGCTTTTCACTGTCAGTTATAATATAGTGTGATCAGTAACATGGAGTTGACAGCTCAGGTGACAGGCTCAAAAAAAAAAAAATGCATGTGCAACTTTAATGGTAAAATAAATTTGCATGCTAACGTCATTCATCAGAGCTTCTTGGTCCATCCCAATTTAAACTCTCTCTGCTTCCTCTATCCCATGATTCCCTCCCATAGCCGAGGATGCCTTCCTGTCTGCCATCATTAACTACACCAACAGCTCAACGGTGCATTTTAAGCTGTCTCCCACCTATGTGCTGTACATGACCTGCCGCTACGTCATGTCCAGCCAATACCGGCCCGACATCAGCCCCTCTGAGCGAACACACAAGGTCATCGCCATTGTCAACAAGATGGTGAGCATGATGGAAGGAGTTATCCAGGTGGGTGTTGGCCATTTTTACTGGAATAAACTTCTGATAGTAATTATTGATCTGAATGATTTTTTACAGTGGAAGTTGTGACTTTATTATATTATAACTGTATTATTTATACTTTAGACATATCGCTGTAGCTCTGATGTAGAGATTTGTCTGTGAAGTTGCATTATACATGCTTTTGTAGTTGTAGTGTTAAAGCTTGTTTCACTCTGGCAAGGATCAGGCAAGGGCTCAGTCCTTGTAATATCTGATTTTACTGATTTGTGTTATGTGGAAACATGTAGGCTAGATGGCATGTTTACTCATACTGCCGGTAAATGCAAAGAAAAGTTCTATATGCTCTACTTTTCAAAAGTTTGGGGTGGGTAGGATTTTTTTTAAATAGGCTTCTTGCGCTCATCAAGGCTGCATTTATTTGATCGAAAATAATGTAAAAACACAAATATTTAACCTTAACCCTAATTTAAAATGATTGTTTGCTATTTAAATGTATTTTTAAATGTCATTTATTCCTGTGATGGCAAAGCTGAGTTTTTCAGAAATCATTCTGATAGGCTGATTTGCTGCTTTGTACTTTGCTTTAGCATTAATACCGCAGTAGATAAATCTGTACTATTAGTGAGTAGGACAGCTGCGTGATTTGCATGTAAGAGTGAGAAAGTTCAAGTAAAGTGAAAATTCAGAGCAGGACATGTTTTGAATTTAAGAAATGAAGTTGTTTGTGGTTGCCAGTGTCACTTGTCGCATTAATACCTCACAATACAGGCTGGTTTTGTTGCTTAATAGAGTCAGAACTCTACCTTCTTTTGTAATGTTACTTGTACTGTTTGGAGTTACATAACGTGAAGCTGTTTTCGCATTGATGCCAGGCTTAATTTATTATCAGTATAATCATATCTTTTGGTTTGTGTCCATCACGTTCCCTAAAAAAGTACTGTACTTTTCATTTGTAAAGTATTTAATTCACTGGATTATCCAAAATGGATATTACAACATGGTTATTTAATATGTAGGCCTAAAGCGTTTCTAGCTTTAGAAATGTAATGAATGTCATGGAAATGACTCCCAAGCTGCAGTATAGATGATACCTGAATATATTATGTCTCTACATCTGAACGCAAAGAGCTGGAAACAGCTGTTTGACAGCTGTTGAACACGGTAGCCTTGTAATTTTGTAATTTACGGTAATTGTTCAAACACTGTGCGGGTGTATCTTTAGGCTGTGGGGTTCTGCTCATTCATTTAGTCTGGTTAGAATGCCGGCGCGTTATTGATTGTCTTCAGTGCTCATAAACACACACAAATGTATCCGGGTGTTCGTGAGGCTGTGGGCCGCTGCTTTTGTTTGACTTTCCATTCAGCTCAGGTTTTATGTAATTGTGTGTTTTAGAGCATATGCAGGTGGTTATATTGTGTGTGTCTGTTTGTTTGGCCACTGGTACTGTTTACTTCCTTGTCATCTGCTGAAATGATTAACTCCTCCCCCCCTTTTTGTGTTTCTCTCTGTCTCAGAAGTGTCCCAGAGACGACCTTTGACCTTCACGGGGATGTTCATAGTGGCTCCGCTCTCCCTACAAGCAAGGTGCCACATCTGCCTGCTTCTTTCGGCTCTCTGTGCATGTTTTTGTGTGTGCTGTGATGGATCTCTGATGGGATATTTGGTGGTTTCAGAGCTCAGGGAAGCTGGAGATGGAGCGCTCAGGAAACAGTGAAAGAGGCCTGGTGAAACCCATGATTAGAGGAGAACAGCAGGACTTTAACAAACATGATGGAAGGTAAGAATTTAGTTGACTTTGTGTGCTTCATTTTCATAGTTGGGCCAAATTGAAAATTTCAATTTTGTTCTGTATTTTTTCTGAAAAATGTAAATTCTTGACGTTCACATGTTGAGATTTGAGGCCATCAAACATTTAAAATATTTAATTGCAATTAATTCCATGTATTTCAGAAAGAAAAGTTTATTTGTGTTTTTATTCAGTTTGATACATGATTTTTGTTAAAGGGGTCATATGATGCTTTTTTTAAAGATCATTATTTTGGTTATTTGGTGTAACAGAATTGTTGAC